AGCCAAAAATCGAGGCGAAGGATCAAACAAAACAAGCGCCGAGCGGGGCAAGCACACGACTTCGGGTGAAGGAGCGGGGGGCCGGCAGAAAATAAAACCTACCCACATGCCTGCCGGGCGGAGGATGAAGCCCCGCCGCCAGCGGAGCTCCCTTTGGCCTTCTTTCTCGCGGCTGTCGACCCCCCCGCACCACAGTCGCTGTCGCTGCTGTCTTCGCTGTCTCCCTCTTCCATCTCGTCATCGTCCTCCTCCTCCGATGTCTGTCTCCACAGGTCCCCCGATAAAATGAAAAAGAAGATTGACAGCCGACGGGATAACAAGGGGGCGGGGGCGGCGTACAGCAAGGATTAAATCGAAGCAAGCTCGACAAAGCTAGAAAAGAATAAACAACAGCAGCAGCAGGGTGTAACACTTAGCAACACATCCCACTCCAAGGATACCGATGTACTTGAGAGCACCTTCCGCCGCAAAGGCAACTATAATGTTAGAAAACAAACAATGAGTGTCCTTCAAGCGGGTACGAGCCTTTGCAGGTGTATGTACTAAGGGCAACGGTGGTGATGGAGATAAGCATATGCTCGGGGCGTCACTAGGGTGATGACGTCACCAGGGTGACGACTTCACTTTGGTGATGCTGTCACCTGAGGGAGAAGGAACGGCGCCACGGTCGCGGGAACGTAGAGGAGCATCTCCGACCTCGTCGCGCTGGGGTTAGCCGCCAGGCCCATCCCGATCCTCGTGAGGGCCTCGTTAGCCTTACCCACCGACCTGAAACGAAGACGCCCTTAACCGCAAGCAAAAGAAGGCCGTGAGCGATCGGTCCAGAAAATGGGTGATAGGTGGATGCACGCCGCAGAAAACGAGCGGCTTCGTAGGTACATACAAAGACTGCACAACCAGGGACCTTGATTCTCCCCGTTGGCACTGACGTCTTTTCATTGGTCGGCAGGTTTGGTAGCGCGGTCGATGCCAACAATCAAAAACACACACACACCTGGCGTTCTCGCACCCCTCCAGGAGGGAAAGCACGGGGCCCACCAGGGCGTGCACCGACGACACCAAAGCCGCGTCCTCCGGCGCTAGCACGGTGAATGTCGGCCGGAAGAGCAAGGTCCTCGCCGCGATCTCGAACGAGTCGTAGGCCATCTGCCCCTTGGCCTCCTTCATCTTGGACGAGGCAACGTTTGCTCCTTGGGCCTAGAGGGGGGAGTTCCAATGCGATCTTTGTGGATGCACGGCGAGCGGGTCATTTTATATATCAACTTCCTGAAGAAAGAAAATAATGCCCCTTGAGCTACGGTCGGACAAAACGTTAACGAGATCAAACTAAAACAGTCGTGCCGGTCGTTCTCGGTCAAAATTTCCCCACGAGATGGGGCCGACGCCGCACTTCGAGGTGACCCCGCAGACTCACGTGCACAGTACAAGGACGTTCTAGAAATTTCACATGCAGAACTTTACTCATAGATGTACCTGTTCCAGCTGGCGTCAGTGCTTTCCCAGCGTAAAGGCTTGGGAGCACATACAACATATTCTTCGTAACAAGCAAAGACTTCATCCCACCCCTTCGACTTATCTCGAACGGCCATGTAACCATTTTTTGACTGCATGTTTCTAAAAGAAGAGCACCGCTCCCTTGTCATTAGCGATGACGTCATCACTGCTACTACGAAAGAGTGAGAGGGCGGTAACACGACATCAACCAAAAACGACGATGGGGCACCAGTGCAGCAGATAACGCTCCTGCGCCCCCCCCCTGCTATTAGCAAAACACGAGCTCCTATGCCTAATTTTCTTTTCAAAGTTATCGCGAAAAACGTGAAGGTACAAATTGTTGTTGTGCATGGACAGTAAGCGCTAACCTCCTTAGCGGCGGCCGACTCCCCGAAGAGGTCTTCCATCAGCAGCTCCACCCCCTCCGGGATACACGCGTCAAAGGAAGGCTGTCCCAGAGAAGAGAAGGCGGCAAGGCTGGAACCGCCAACGCCGCCGCTGAATTCTCCTCGCTGTCTACATCCATCACCGCTGCGTCTGCCGCGTCGGTGGTGGCACTAGCAGAAGCGGGTTCGGTGGGTTCGGCCTTGCGGACGTCTACCGAAAGAGGGCAGGGTGGCTTATAGGAGTCGGCCACGGTCTTGAGGATCGTGTGGAGGGTGAAGGTTCGTACGTGGAGCTGGTAGTCCGTTACCAGGCAGGTCCTCAGCTCCGTGATGGCCCTCGAAGTTGCGGGGGGGGGTAAAGGGTAGAGAGAGAGAGAGAGAGGAGAAAGGGGGCAGTGATGTGGCGGCGGAGGGCAACAAGAGACAACGACGGCAGCAATGGTCGCAAATCATATAAGAGTGGATCAGTGAAGGAAAGACAGTACAGACGAGCAACACAAGTACAAGGTTTGGATATTGGTGGTGTTTGGGCATGCCTTTCTCTGGCAGCAGCGAATCTTTTCTCGTGCTTCCTTCTCAGGACCACGGAGTAGCCTTGTCGGCACATTGCTCGACAGGCATCCGTGGAACGAGAGCCGTATCTATTAACGCCGCTACTTTGGAAATCCGCCGAGCGGTGGGACAATGACCCCGACACTGTGACGTAGGGAAATTCTCTCCCGCCAAACCGATGCCTTGTTGCGCCTGTAGAAGCCGAAATCAAACCAGTAGACTAGTCAGCGCTGACTACGAAATCAAACCGTTAGACTAGTCAGCAGCTGACTAGCCAGCACTGATTTTCATTAGACTAGTCAGCACTGACTCCATGAAGCAGTAGACTAGTCAGCCTAGTCAGCAGCTGACTAGTCTAATGGTTTTGATTTACGGCTTCTTTTATAAACGCTAAAGTTGGTCGTGGGGTCCGAGCGACCCGACACTTTCACTTCGAGCTTGCGATGGTCCACATTCATCAATTGCCAGGGCGGAATAAAAACACTCCTTTGCAGAATGGTGTGTTAGAACGTGACAGACCGACCATCATGAACATGATGAGGTGCATCTTATCGACACTGGACTTTCGAAGTTTTGCCGGGGAGAAATATACGAAACGTCGGCTTTCCTTCATAATCGCTCTCCTCATCGTGTAATTGGCGGAAGTTCTCCGTACCCCAAGCCCTTTCGGAAAGAACCAGATCTTTCAGGCTTGAGGAATATTGGAGCTAGGGCATTCGTCCACAACGAGAGACACGGAAACAATCTAGGACAGAGGGCATGGGACGGCATCATGCTGGGGTACAGCAAGGACGTCAAGCCCTATCGAGTCTACTGTATGTCATATGTTGGGGGTGCTCTTGGCAGAGACGAGAGCGCCTTGTCCGCCGTTCATCTACAATGTAAGCGTCTGCATACCACCATAAAAAAGGCACTCTGATTTTCGCTTGCTGCATGTTTTCGGCATATATTTTGCTGGACCACAACGTTATGCCACTTGCCCAAGACCAGCTATCTTACAACGTACTGGTACAGACCAACAGCAGTCCCGTGTATTTTATCCTATAAAGATCTACTTTTGAGTTTTAAGGCAGGCATGAAGCGCAAAAGGCCCGAAAAATCCTCCCTCCCACTCCATGAATCGAGTATAAAATACCTCCTTGTGGATGGTCCAGCTGAGGGTTCGGATTGTGTATTATATATACTACATACAGTCAGTCGCCCAGTCAACCTGACACGAAACAGCCATTTCCACCATGACCGTTGGCCTCAACTCAAGCATGCAGGGGCATGATGTTGCGGGTATGACCTTAAACCAGACACAGAGGGAAGAATCGAACACTTTTTGAGGAAGATTCCATGACTGGCAACATTTGAATTTGTTTCCGCAAAATCGCAAAACGATGAACGTGGTCGCATACCGCGGGGCGGCTCAGCATACCTTTTCGTGAAACATGTATCCACGGCCCCTTCAGACCAACGCGAGAAGTTCTGGCAAGAACTCGAGTGTAACAGAACGCGCCCGCGGCCTTAAGATAATGAGCACCATTTGTGAGCTCGGTTAAGAATCCGTACACAAAAATCTATATAGCGACCATTCGTAGCATGACCCCCAGGAACTAAGAACGTAAGCCGCGGCCGAAACTATTATATTAATAATAATAGAGGTTCTTAAGTGTGGGCGCGTTCTGTAACCAATCTTAGCTCCCCCGCGTTTTTTTGGCACTTTTTTTCTTCAGTACGGGTCGCCGCAACCGGCGCAACAAGAGTGTTGATGGCCCGGGAGAAGTTCAACTGCTGTAGGGAAGAGTACAAGAAACGACACAAATAGAATGCGACAGGCGCGATGTATGGATGATTCACGTAGCACGAAACTACGACGGGTCATCGTAGACAGTATCCCGTAGATTCGCCCAAATCCCCCCCCCCTATCGCCCTGGGCATCGCCCGCCAGAGAAGCACCCAGGATCAGCCTTAACAAGCCACAAGTCCACGCCATAGAGAACTTAACCGCGGCGAGCTGTCATTCTACTCACACAGCAGCGGATGGTGCAAGTTTTGTACCATTTTTTGCTCTGTGGGCGAATAACAAAAGCTGCCTCACAGGAGAGCTGGTACACGAGAAGTGTCGGGGTGCAGCCCACCCAACCAGCCCAAATCAGTGCGGCCTACACTGGTCTCGACTGCTCGCTGCGTACAGCTGAGCACATCCCCTTTCTCCAGCAATGTGTTTCGGTCAGCAAAAAAAAACGGCCAAAAAGAACGTGGTTTTCGGCGTACAGTACGCGCCATGACCCGCGGTTTTCTCGGCTCCTGTGGCAAAGTTGTGCATGGGGAATAAAAAAGCGCCGGGAGGAGGACTTGCGCTTTGCTTCGTCTGTGGACGTCCCGGCAGTCGCGAAGGGTGCTCAAGCAAGTAGTAGCACGTTGACCGGAAAATATTGGGGGGAGCTGGGCGAGTGGTGAGCAACAGCAGGGGAAGAGTGGCCAAATGAGCGCGACCTTCAAGGAGACCCTCTCAAGGTTGGAGAGTGCATCTGCTGCCGGCCCGGCTGTGTCGGTGGGGTTTACAGAACATTCAAGAGGCGCCGCCAGATGGAAGACAAACGGTCTAGGGACAACATGGTGGTTGAGCAGCCGTCGCCTTGCGTTGTGGCTTCCGTCCGAACTCCATAGAAAAAACGTGCAAAACGAGCGTACTCAAATGATGATAATGTACCCTTCAGGGTGCAATTGGCTGGACCGATGGGGATTGGGAGTGCCCCCAGACCGCACTTGCGGATGGTCAATCAAGGTGCTTTCCGTCAAGCACGTCATGATACATGTACCACACCTGGGAGCCCGTGGAAGGGTATCGGCCAACAACAGTGTTAGTGGCTGGTGCCCCATAATGTTTTAGAGTGTTGGCGCCGGCTGCACAACCCATTTTTTAGACACTTCGTGGTCCTTCCAAAGTGACTCGTCGTATAAAAAATAAAGGGAAACGGACAAAAGTGGGTATACCCACGCCATTCTCGGACAAAAGTGGGTACTCGAAA